AAAATAATATTGTTTTCATTGAAAACTAATGTTATGTTTTTGTATATTAAAAGTAGGTAATAACAATGTTACCACACTAAATACTACATTAAATTTTATATGGTTTCTGTATTGGATTTTTTTAAGAAAACTGAAAATCTAATAATTTTAAAATAGTTCCATATTAATAGTAAGTTAATACCACTTTTTATTTTATTTTTTTCATTAAAATTGAATCAATATAGTTGAAATATATTTGAATGCAGAATGAAATATGTGAACATGTATTTATCTCTAAATAGTCAGACATGTTATAGTAATTGTTATAATCTATGGAAAGTAGTAACATAATAGGTACCTATACTGGTGTAGAATATACATATTATATAGCATATAATTAAAAAAAAATACCTGTATTTGTATTCAAATACTTTGTGAGTATTCGTAAAATACATTTTAATAATAGTATTTTAAAAGTATTTTTAATACTTTTTTATTCGAATACTAGTATTAGTACCTTAATACTTTTTCAAAAGTATATTTTACAAGACTGACTATTACAGTACTATAAAGTATATTAAAGCATTGCGTCATTGCGAGACGCCAACCATTATAAGATTTCTATTGATTTATTAATTCAAACAATATTGATGGTATCTGTGTATGTTGGTGTTGCTTAAATTGAACATTGCTTATTTAATAATCCTTCCCTTAGATCGTGAGTTTATTAAATAATCTATTAAGTTATTTGATTATTCTAATTAGATAAATGTGCAGTGTATTTAGAGTAAATTTATGATGAAAGTTGTTGTTTTAGGTCAGATTAGGAGTATAAAAAGGGGTCCAAAACATACAAATTTCCAGATGTATTTGTATTCTCGGAACAGAGTTTTTACACCAACTTCACATAAACAGCTTTTAAAATATAATATAAATATAAATTTATTATTTATTAAGTGAAAACAAAATAATTTATGTAAAGTAGGTATACCATTTATCAATTCGATATTAATTTTTCACAGAATGATTTAATGTCATAGGCACTAAATAATAGTTTAACCAGCGCATCAGTTATGTCATACTTAAGGCACTATGAAAACAAAAGTAATGATATAATATACATCTAGTAACCGTTATGGCCTCTAGTTCCTGACTTGAATAAATAAATAAACAATCTGCCAAAACTACAATTTTAAATAGATTTTTAAATTTAAATTTGGCCAGGTTTTTACAAAAATGTTTCACTGTGCATCGTCGTAAAACCAATACTTTATCGTTAAAATGCATACAAATAATTGGTATATGAAATATATTATATTATGTAAAAATGTATAATATTATATTTATATCATTTGTAATCGGAAACATATAAGTAAACGGTGGATCAGTTAGTTAGCGGTTTCCAAACTTGTTTAGTTCACGCCACCGTAAAAATAAAAATAATAATTGCTCCTCCCTTGAATAAATAAATAACAAGTATATAATATTTAAATATAAAAATATTTTTAATTGTTCGGTAGACGCGATAACGCTGGCTAGATGTAGCGACTTTCTCGAAAATCAATGAATTAAGGATAATATTATAATATAACATTTACCGTATTGCGAAATTCTTGTTAATTCAAAAAAATTATTATTTACCACGCGGCTTGCGCCTCCCCTGTCAAGTGATTGAACCTTCCAAAGGAGGAGTGCCTCATAGTTTGGGAACCACTGAGTTAGAAGGTAGATCGTACTGAAACATTTAGATTTCTTTGTATGTATAATGGAACATGATAAAATTATTGAAACATTATTCCTAATTCCTATGTTATTGTATTATATGTTATTTTTTACTGCTTATTAACTCTCCAATACTGGTTATTAATGAAAATTAATATTTAATGTAAATAGAAAAATCGGTGAATAAACGTTGGTGACGTTAAATGTTTGAACAAGATCGAGCAATAAAATATTTTCAAACTGTTGAGTATTGGAATGTATAAATGTATAATATTATCATTTTGTTTTAACATCGCTGAGTTTTGTAACAGATTCTCATAATAGTATAATACTACTGATGTTGGTCGCTGTTGGTTTTGAATTGTAGAAATATTGTTAACTGCATTGTCCGTGAGGACGTTAATGATTTATCGTCGGTCGTAAATGCACTTACTGAGCATATTATATAGTCATGGTTTCAGTTATACCCAAATAATATATATTTATACAATTTAAATTTGTTAACTCGTTGCCTGTTGGCTCGTTATATATTATTAAGTCTCTACGAAACTTGGTATATTTACAAATTAACCGCAACATCGGTTTTTGCATAATTTTTCTCGGAACTGTATCATCATATTATTGTAACTACATTTATGAATATTTATACAGCTATTATACTGAATCAGAAAAATTTTTTATTTTAATATTCACCTTTTATTACGACGGTATAAACCTACTCCAAATAGAATTACGTAGAGGTTTTAATGAATCGTGTACTAGCGTCCACGTTTTTTTTTTATCGAAAATTAATAATTATAACCATATACAGTTAGGAGCGACTATTACGAGAACAACTTCGAACAAACAAAAAATGACACGTATTCTAATTTATTTTGCGGGTTTTGAGGGAAACAAACGTATTTTTGGGTCATATAATAAAAATGCTGCACGGATATAATATTATGAATCATTTGAACAAATACAGCAAGTATTAATAATTCAGTAATTACAACGATCGTTTGTTTTATTATGATATCAGTTCGACTGTTAAAATATGTGATACAACGTTAAGACACTATATAAGGCACTTAGGTAGGTACCTGCACATTGTCGTAGGTAACGCATAGTAATAATATTAAAACCTATTGTTCCTCGCACAGAAACGTTTTTCTCGAACACAACGGTTTATTATGATATATAATCCCTCGAATTCCATATTCCACACGTCACGGACGGAGATTATTATGAGTATGACTACACCCGGTGTTCCCTAGCCCGGCGTCCAGCTGTCTCCAGATCGTTCTCCCGTCTCAGTGTTCGACTGAACGTTTTTAACGAAAACAACGTAAATTCTCGGTTGCTGAAAAGGCGGACCGGAGTTAGTATATTATACGTCATTAAGTGTTGCGATTATTGTACACGGTTTTCATTCCCAATAATGGTGTACGCGATATTAGAAAAATAATATAATATTCACTTATTTGCAGCGAATCATACGAGAACTGCAACTTCGAACAAATGAAAAATTACATTTAATCTATAATTTATTTTAAGGGAAACAGACGCATTTCTATAGAAGCTCCTATAAAAACCCCGAAAGGATGTATCGTGAAACTTTCATAACACGACCAACTTCCATTTAACAACATTTTTTGTTTGACAAAATATTTTTGAAAACCAAATTTATTTAATTCAACCAATTTCTGTATGGTAGGTACACATTTGTTTTTTGTTGCTCACAAGACTTGGTAATATGAAAGTTTCATTGTATTAAGATAGCGAGTATGACTGCAGTATTGACATAAGGTGTTCCCCAGCCCGGCTGTCTCGAGACCGTTCCAGTGTTCGACTCTGAACGTTTTTAACGAAAACAACGTAATTTCTAGCTCTCCGAAAAAGCGGGTTAGAGTCCGTATATTATGCGTTATATTATTATTATTCTGTTGCGATTATTGTGTACGGTTTTCATTCCTAATAATAGTGTACGCGATATTAGAAAAATAATAATACAATAAAGTAATGGGTAGGTATTAGGTAACTATATTTTTTTTTCATAATAACACATGACACGTGAGTACGATAAAAGTACGTCGTCGTAGCTTCTATTCAAAACACATTCTCGTTCGTTTCATTCGAACCAACGATGAGATTCGACATAATTTTATTTTTATTATTATCATGCCTACTGCCTAAGGTGTTGCTCGCGAGTTTGTTACCGTCGCATTTAAACTTTAATCAAAACGTCACGAGTGTATGCTTATTGATGATAAATGGTTTTTTTTTCGATTTACTGTTATGGAGAAGCCGTGAGTATGGGATGCCCGCACAGATTATTACAGCGACAGAAAGCGTCAATTATATTTAATGAATATAGATATATATTTTATAAACTTTTACGTTGCGTGTTTTTTTTCCTCCAAATTGTTTGAGGTCATTACGATTCGTTTTTCCGTATTATATACTTTTGATTTACTCAACGGAATGCGAAGATACCGCGTTAGTCCGGATGAGAAGGTGTTTGACACTGAATCGTCGAATCGGATAAAACCCCTTCTTGGATTACCCGACAAATCTGACAAATTTTAGTGAATTTACACAGTATAAGGTTTTACTCGTTATTGTTATCAGTTCAATAGTTTGTACATTTGAAAATACTAATACTTACTGTATTATCCAAACTAAAATATAAGTGACGTGCGTTAAAAATAAATTGTTTTTAAATTATTTACTCATATTTACAGGTAGATTCAGCGGTCAATTTCGTGTTGAGACAATCCATACCTAATTATGTCAAACAATTATATTTACTGCAGAGAATGGCGATTGGGCGTCACACATGAATCATGGTGCTCAGATGGTTCAATTATATTATTGATTGATTTCATGCAAATTGTATACCTATCGTTTATTCATTATTCATTATTAAGTAAGCCTTTTCAGGTAATATTGGTAAATTTTAGATAGACGAACAGAATAATATTATTATTATTTTAAATAAAATTATTTGCTCTATAGTCTCTCTGTCGGTCCGTTATTATACGGTGATTATCAGTTATTATTCATACATTATACGTGTTAGATTCAAGTATTGGAACATACAAATAAAGATAAAAGTCACTATATTCATATGATGCGAATATTATAAATCATAATGACATTAAGCCCACGCGCGGTTTGAAATTATATAATATTAATATATTATACACTCTAATTGGATGTTAAGGTAAAACGCACACGCCATTTTAATACGTCCTACACTACGCCTACTGTATACTATAATAATTATGTATACGTTTAATAATGTATATTGCTTTTACCTTCAATTTTTGTCCATTGAGGGCTTCGAGTTTGTTGTGCCTCTCAGCGATTACGCAGGATATTTTTAAATATACGTAGACGACGACTACCAGTGGCACGAAAAATGAGCCCATTGCCGAGAATACTACGTACACCTTGTTTTGGTTATAGGTACAGCTGTTGTTATTGTGTCGATTTTCGTCGTACCTACATAAAATAATAAAGCAAAATATATTGAATACTGTATGAACACTTTTTTTTCTACCGAGTATAATAACTTATTTTAATTTATTTTATCAATGCTATAAAATATGTAATACACAATGAACGTTAAGTAATAGGTAAGTTATTTTGCTATATCATTAAAATTTAAAATCATATATGCATTGCATTAAGAGGATGCGGCACCCGCATGTGTTTTCTCAGTTTTACAAGTGCGAAACATACCTAATATTACGCTCAGCAGATCACTTTTATCTCCTTTAGTTTAAAAATTAGAGTTATGAGTATTTTAAAATTTTAAATTGTTTGTACACCCTAAAATACTCATAACTCGCTTTAAAATTAAAATATAATAAAAATTCAATGAGATTGCCCAAATAATAATCTTACCTTAAAATTGTATAATTGGTCAATTCACTCTAATTTTTAAATTAACAGAGCTAAACGTGATCTGTTGAGCGTACAATTCGCGATGTTACACACTTGTAAGATGGCGACAACGCATGTGGGAATACCACGTCCTCTTAATGCTTTATGTTTTATTCCGCTGAAATGTTGATGATTGACTATAAGGACTTTTATTGTTGATCAAGTAGGTATTGAGTATATCAGAATAGAAAATATATTTAGTTAAAACTAAAGATTTCAGCTGATAAAAAAAAAAAAAAAAATATGAAATTAAAATTATATAATTTTCGGAAAAATATATTTCTATTGCCTAGTATTATAATAACCTAAAACTATTAATTACAAATGATAAAATACAGAAAAATCTACACAATTAAGAGTTTTTTTATTTATAAGCATGGATAACTTGTAATTATGATATTTATAAATTTTAAACTTTATATAATATTATGTATAACATTGTAACAAGTACAATTATTATTTTTTGCAGTATGCTCAGCAAAGTTATCGCTAGTTATTGTGTATGATATAAAGCAAATTTAACAATATAATCAACATATTATTTTAATATTATTCACGATCTAAATTGTATATAGCAGTCCTTTGCAAATATACAAATATTTACAAGGTCACAAATTAGAAAAATGTATAATGAACTTGAGTATAATATCATTATATCAAAGTATAGGTAGGAAGTTAATTTATTAAGTAGATACATTGTGCATCTATAGATGATTGGACAATTGATATATCTATGTTGTTTTCTTTAAATACGGTAAAATTCTTAAGAAACACCCTGCTGTACCTACCTCAAAAAAATTACTCAAAAATAATATAACAGTATACAAACCATCCAAAAAGGGGAGCACATGTTATGACCAATGAAACCAACCATACGACCAGTATCATGAGCGACGCGAGTCTTTTGGACCTCCGTTTTTTTGAGTACCGCAGAGGTTTGGTGATGGCAAAATATCTGTCAATTGATATGGCGCAAAGGCTGAGTATCGACGCAGTACAAAGGCACACGTCCAGCGAAACCCAAATGTCACATATCAAACGTCCAAACGTCCATTCGCCTGACAATTATTAAACAGTAAATTAATGACAACATAAAACATCAGTGCACCCTAGTGCCATACCACTTTGAGCTTACCTGTAACATGGTAGACGACGGCTATTGGCATGACGAACGTTCCCACAAGCCAATCGGCAACGGCCAAGGACGTCACGAAGTAATTCGTAACTGTCCGGAGTCGCCTGGTTGTAAACACGGCGAATATAATTAACGTGTTGCCAACCTGTGAACAAAAAATAAGAAATATCAGCCCGGCGATGCGAATTAATGTTTAAGCAATGACGAGCCTGAGTTTTTTTTTCCATTATGAAAGACTATTGTTTGCCTTTTGCAAAAGTGCGTAATTATATAAACGGATCGACACTTCAATAATAATAGTTTCGTTTACCTATATCGTTACCTACCAGTAAACTCCAGATTAAATACAAATAGTTTAATGGATAGTCAAAGATAAAAAGGTTATATTTTAATATTGTATTATAGATAATTGTTATTACGAAGTGCATTCTATCATCAACGCTTGGCTCACAGCTTCATATTCAGACGTTACCGAACATATTATAAGGTATTATATACATTATATAAGCTGTCAGCTGATACTATTTAAGAGGTTAATACTGATATTCTCAAAATGTAGTTTTAAGTAATTTAAAGTTTTTACTTTTCGAATGGTGGCATACAATTTTGATTTCACATTAATTGTAAGCTGGATAATATTTTGATAAAAACTTGTTTTTACCTGACACAACGACACCTTGCTCTCTGCACGCGTATTACGATATACTAAGGAGGTGAATAGGTACTTGTGGTATCGAAATTTGTCCACCCTCTCCCAGGGTAGCAATAACCTACCAGCGTGACTGCAGAAATTACTATCCTGCTGCCTCTATATATATTATACGATTTAACCACGGGGGTTTGAGGATTGGAATAATTTCGGCGATGTAGGTTTAATGAACTTAGGTAATATTAAGCTGCACGTTATTTTTACACTCTTTAGTAAACGTTTATTGTGGTGGTCGGGTGGGCCCGGCGTGTGCGTGAGGTGTCCGAGGGAGGTTATGGTCGCCCACTCGCCCGCTGACAAATAATAGTATTATACACTGGGAAATTTATAACACCTTGCGCCACAGAACCGACAGGTGGACGTTTGCGTGATATAGTGATAATCCGCGGATGACTCCGATTTTATAACAATATAATTATAGGAAGCTAATGATAATAATTATACCTATCGTTATTGTATAATTACCATTGAACAAATGTGGAGTCACTTATTGTTAGATCTTAAGCACCCACTCATAAGCAACAATTCTCTTACAAAAATGTATTTACCTATGACATTAGTATTGTAATAGGTAAACCAACTTTAGTTACCTCAAACTTACCGTGGTTACATCAGTTTTGTAAAAATTTAAAAAAAAAAAACCGGAGATGTCACTCTGCTGTATAGTAGCTAATGAGTGATGACTGATAAATAATGTCGAGTGTGCTTAGATATTGACCAAATCAATAATAAATTATATTGTGTACGAAAAATAGTTCTGTATTGAAATTGGAAACTATATGTGCCATTAATTTCAAAGTTATTTTATTATTTATCTATATTAGGTTGGATTTAGTAAATTATTTTTTTATTATTATTATGGTTTGTTGAACATTTTTAACAAAAATAGCTCAAAAGTGCAAAAATATTTTGAAAATATGAAAGGGATTAAAATGTTATGAAACGAATGATTATGGTCTTGATAACTTGTGTTGGTAGGTACGGAAAATAGTTAGTGGCTTATTATAGGCTATAATAAGCCACTAACTATTTTCCGTTATTTATAGCATTGAGGGAATGAACACGGAAGTACACAATGGTTAGGAGAATCTATGGAATAGTTAAGGAGGAATGAAATAAAGTTGAAATTGGCGTCGTGGCGCCGGAAGGAGTGAGTAGGAATGTTGAGTGAATTAAAGATGAGGGAGCAGTCGTGAAGAGGATGTTGTATCTTGTGAACGAATGCGGCGTGATACAAAAATTTGTTTTGGACACGTTCTAATCTAACGGGTCCTCGAAAGATATGGATACCATATTACCCCACCGTACTCTAAAATGGATCTAGCCAAGGTCAAATATAGGGTGTGAATGCATTTAACAGAGGTAAACGTTTAAGGGTATTACGCATGATGAAACCCAATTTAGAGCTTAACCAACTGTAGCATTGATGTGCTGTTCAAAATTAAGGGTAGAGGTGTAGTGTATTCCTATAGGTCTTTGATGTAGGTCACTCGACGGAGTAAGGCATCGTTGAAAGATTAATTAAATTTCAGTAGAGATACAAACCTAGCGATGGACAACATGCTACATTTATCTGTATTAAATATTAGGACTAGGCCCTTGACCCAATTGTCAAAGATGTTAAGTTCTAATTATTGGAGTACTAAACAATCGTTAAATAATATTCAATGTTTTCGGCAACAATTAATTTAACCTACAGTATTAATAATAGTAAAATAAATTACTTTAATAAAAATATTAAAAAAAATACCATTCAAATATGAAATATAGGTATTAAAAGGGTATATTATAATAAAGGGCTTTGGTCAACAGCCTTTGCTCTGAGTCGTTTTTCGTTGCGGTGATTTATCAATTATCAGTGAATTCAAATTTAACATATTATGATTTATGATACAATATTAGTGACTTATTCAATGACAAGAATAAGATACACCTACTCCTAAAAGTGTACAGCAGAGGCGTACCTGATTTAATCCCCTTTTTTTAAAACTTTGCTAGAAATTTTCTACTTTGGACCACCTTGAGTTTTTTCAACAAATCACCCTTAAAAATTAAACTAAAAAAAAACCACAAATCAATATAAAACCTTATAAAAATAAGTTGAAAAACCATTTATATAAACATATATGTTTAGATAAAGCCAAAACAAAACACTCGTAGGTAACAGAAAATAATATCCTGATATATCCTCACTCAAAAGTTTAAATAATATTCTCAATCAATACACATACTAATAAAGAATCCATAATTTCTATATATAAAGACTTAAAAAAATAAAATTATCTAAATTTTTTTTGTGTTTTTGCTTTTATACTTCTGTACCGTAATCTATGTACTTAGCACCTCTACAAACAGTTTTTATATTGCATATTATTAAAATAACGTATTCATATTTTCTTCGTCCCTTGTTGATACCTCTTCTCGAAATGAGGGACAAGTAGTGGGTGAAAACCAAAAAAATAAAATCGATTCGAATAAATTATCACAAATCCGCTGTTCGAAAAACTAAGATTATTGCAGAATTTTGAGTAAAAATATTGTTTTACAGCGGATGTAGAGCGTCATGATATTGTTAACCATTAACTTCAGGTATCTAGAAGATATTAATTAAAATAATTTCTTGAATTTAAAAATAAATTAATTCATAAACACGGTGATACGAAATGCATCCTTTTGGTTTGCATTCATAATGTTATCATAATTTTCAAAGGGGTATTTCTGTTATTCGCGACAAACGAAGCGAATTCAAAGAATAAATAGAGCATTACAAAAAAATACACCATAAGTCATGTGACATAACGGTAAAAAATGTATAATAAAATATAAATAAATAAAACGGATGGACGAGTTTACTTCGATATTCATATTATAATATGGTTCTGCGCTAATCGTCTTTTCCAGTTCAATGAAACACGTAAACAATTTATTCTCTATATGCGTTCATGAAATATATCCTAAATATATCTTAGGCAACCGAAATGTCACTATATCGTTCAATCGTAATTTTTTAACTGTGTAAATCAAAACTTTGAATTTGTAACCTATAGAGTTTAAATACTTTTTACAATAATATGAAAACAAAATAAGATTTGTAAATGAATAAATCGAAAAAGTATCAAGAACTTTAAGTATGAATAAGTACACAGTATACACTAGTACGTCATAAATATAACAACAACACAATCAAACTGTATTTTATTTTACCGTTTTGTAAAGCGCTTATCGTATCGACGTATTATTTTCACAAACAATGTCGTGGTATTGTATTCACGTAAGATGACGGTCGTCTATTGTATATTATACCTAAGTTTACTATAATCACGCGGATATTCGTTTGTACGTCCGCAAAAGTCTTAAATCACGTATTTCGTATAGTTACTATTAAAAGTTACAGTTCTCAATGCAGATATTATGCATCACAGCACGCGTTCCACAAATATTGATATTTTTTTGCCTTGGTCCAGTGATTTTGAGTTATCATCGTAGTCACTACCGTGTACGTAGTTTTTGGCCCTACTACGATTGTATAGGCACAATAATACGAATAATAATAATAATAATAATATTTTATTTTATTTTATGCTGCAGCGTACGACTGCGGCTGACGACGATGATGGCTCTACGTATTATTTTCGTTCTGAAAAATACGTAATATGCGTCTTCGGCGGTCGTCTGTATTATTATTTCGAAAAGGGATGGGATTCAATTTTTCCCGCCCACGTAAAATATGACATCGCCGCCGTCCCTCTGATATTTCACCGGAACCGATCGTTCGTGAATATTTCCGGTTGTGGATATATATATTCACCATAAATTTATCGCCTCCTTCATCGGCGATGCGGCCTTTTTTCACTTTTATCGTCCGCCTTTTCGTAGCCACAGCAATCCGTCAGTGTCCCGCTCCAAGTGGATCGGCCTTCGGCTATTGTCGCCACTTTTAATGAATTTTTACTCTCGAGTTTATGATATTACATTAATATGCAAACGTCTCGTACCACACTATCGTCAAAATATTTTTTGACACCCTCACACACGATAAATACATATTGAATTTCGAACGAGTAGTTAATTGGTTATAACACATATAACTATTAAAATCTTAGATGACCGTTGCAGTAAAGTGGCACAGGGATACCCTGCAATATAATTATGTTGTCCCACTACTATTCTCATAATATAGACTTTAAAACTAAACAGAACCATAAGGTAGGTAGATACTTTAGAAATAACAATACGAATAAAAATTAGTTTTTTATGTTTTGAAGTACTCCAAGATATATACTGCTTCGGAGTATGAAATTAAAATGTTGCTGTCAATATAAAAGTAAGAAACTTATAAAAAATATAACGATAACTATTATTGTAAAAATTCAATTTTTAATGAAGATAAAAGTATTTGAAATAATGAGTGTAGAAACTTAAATTTGTCACTTTGC